TTTTCTGAAAGGGAAGAAAAGAGAATCGCACACTATAGTCCAATGAGATTGACATTAATTCCTAGCAAAATTGTAGAACAAATCATTGAAGAGATGATTGGTAAATATCCAGAAAGGGAATCAGTGATTACAAAGACCCAGCATGACTTCATAAAGATCAGACTAATTTCATTGCTTCTTTTGTTGGGATCATTAAAGTAGAAGATAAGAGAATCCTGTGAATGTAGTATGCCTAGATTTTAGCGAAGCTTTTAATAAAATGTTTCATATTATCCTGAGGGAGAACATGAAGAGATATAGATCAGACAGTAATATAATTAGGTAGATTCTGGAATGGTTGAATGACTAGACACAAATAGTATTTATTAATGGTTCAGTGTCATTATTGCAGTAAGTCTCCAGTGGAGTACCCTAGGGATCTGTGCTTTAACATTTTTATCAGTGATTGAATAAAAAAATAGCATGCTCATCGTATTTTAAGATGGCATGAAGCTGGAAAGAAAAGCTGATACAGTGGATGACAGATTTAGGATCTGAAAGGATCCTGGAATTGTATGGTTGGATCCTCACTTTAGGAAAATTTTTTTTTTCAACCAAGTGGAAGATAGATTAGAGTGAGGATTGACTCTATGAGTAGAACGAAGGGAACATATGTAAGAGGTGCTATAGAGACAGAAATGGCAGTATTAGACAACTGACTGTATGTATGGGACGAGTGAGAATGAGAATAACAGTGTCAGGAATGACACTGTTATAAATCTAGGTGACTGAAGGGATGATGTTGCCCTTGACAGTAATAATAATAAAAAAGAGTGGTAGATATATAGTGAAAGATAAAGAGTTCTAATATAGACGTTTTGAGTTTGAGATTCCTATGGGACATTCAGCTTGAGATGCCCCAAAAGCAATGTGCAAATAGGACTGAAGCTCAGGAGAGAGACTTGAGCTGGATATATAATCTTAGTGTTATCTGCATAGAAATAATCATTGAACCTATGGGAGCCAATGGGATCATTTCATGAGAAATAAAACCAGGACAGAGCTTTGGGGCATGTCCATGGATGACACAAATGAAGAACCAGCAAAGTGAACTGGAAAGAAATGGTGAGAAAGGAGGTTCAGGAGATAGCAGTGTCACTCACATCCAAAGGGAAAAGAATATCTAGAATAAGGTGATCAACAACATCAAAGACTGCCAAGAGCTCAAGAAGAATAAGGACTGAGAAAAGATCGTTAAATTTATCAATTAAGATGTCATTGGTAACTTTAGAAAGAATATTTTCAGTTGAATAATGACATTGGAAACCAAATTACAGAGAGTTTAGATGAGAGTGAAAGGAGAAGGAGAGTTGAGGAAATGAGAACTGTAGGACAATAGCTAGTGGCCATGGTAGATTCAAATTAGAGGGGTTTTTTAATGATGGGGAACACTTGGAAGTGTTCTGGGGCATCAGGGGAAGAACTTGTACATAGAGATTGAAAATTATATTGAGAAAATTATTGTAGTGCATTCTTTTGGAGAAAATGGGAGGATCTGGCATCAAAAGTACATATAGAGGGGCTAGATTTATTAAGGAGAAGGACCACTCTTCATTAGCAGCTTGGGTGAAGGAGGAGATAATTGGGGATGATATCAGAAGGATGGTAAAATAAGTAAAAGAGGAGAAGATGGAGCTTTTGGTGAATGGCCTCAATTTTTTCAATGAAGTTTCAGGTGAGGACTTCAGAGTGTGGAGGGAGGGAGTGTTGTAAGAGGCTTGAGAAGATAAAGAGGTTTGGAATAATCCCTGTGGTAAGTGGGATGGAAAATCCATTACTGGGAGTTGAGATTGTCTGCCTGCACTAAAGGCATTAAGGATTATATTAAGATAACAAATTTGTCCCTAGTCTGTAGCGTCTTTCTGGCTTCCTTCAGCTCGTTCAATAGTGAGTGAATAGGAGTGAAGCGGGAAGACATATGCAGTTTTTCAGGGTGAGGGTTTAGCAAGGCATGGTCAGTAATAAATTGGGATTAGAGGATAGGAGAAGATATTGTAGATTTGAACTGGTTCACCAGAGGTTCAAGTTTGGGAAGGAAGAAGAATGTAACCAGAGTAGGGGTAGTGACTTAGGAAAGTACTGAAAGTTGTGGGAATTGGAGGTCATGGTGAGAAAGAAGAATTAGGTTTAGTAGGAGTAAGGGGTAGGGGGAGCTAAGAAGATAAAGGTTATAATTAGACAGGAATTTCAGAGTTCTTGAACATAGAAGTTGGAACACTTGTAGGTGATGCTACATCAAGAGTATATGCATAAGTGAGCATAAAGAAGAGGTTGTTTGTTTTGACTTCACTCCTTGTGAAAGGAGTAAGTCTTAGGAGTTGAATAGTCTGAGGAACTGAGAATTAAGTTAAGGTGTTTGAGGGAATATGAGGTGTTGTGGCTTAAATGGATAGAGAGTTAGCTTCTGAGCCAGAAAGACCTAGGTTCAAGCCCCATCTCTGACTCATACTGGTTGTGGGCCTCTGGGCAAATCACTTAAACTTTCAACCAGAGTCTCTATAAAATGGAGACAGTAAAGCACTCACCTCAGGGGGGTTGTTCTGTGGATCAAATGGCATAACAGATTTAAAGTGCTTTACGCAACTTAAAACACTATAAAAGTGATAGCTATTATCATCATTATTATGATAAAGAGCATAGTTTGTGGGCAGGAATGGAGGTGGAGAGGTAGGCTGTGAGTTAGGTATTAAACTCATTAGGAAAGGAGGGAGAATATTCTGAGCGTCATGGATGATGGCCACCAGGATATGAATCAAGAGATAAATTTGGACTCTGATCCTCCAAGGAAAAGTTGCTGTGTGATGGTGGTATAGGGAGATTCTGGACGGGAGTATTGCAGGATAGGACTGAGGTGGGTGGAAATGAGGGAACAGAAAACTGGGCTAGGGATGAGAGATCATTCACAAATCTGAGGTTCATTTTCATTCAGATGAGGAGAGCAGGAAGGGGTGAGAGTATAACTATTGGACTACGGGTCCACATAGATCATGAGCAGATGAAGAGAGGTCCATGGATATAGATATAAGCAGGTGATTAGAAAGTTCAACTAGGCCCTGAACTGGAGGCAGCTGAGTGGATCAGTGTATCAAATGCTTGGCCTGGAATCAGGAAAACCTGAGTTCAAATTGAGGCTCAGACACTATCTATGCAGCCCTGGGCAAATCACTTAACCTCTGTTTGCCTTAATTTACTGGAGAAAGAAATGGCAAACCACTCCAGTATCTTTGCCAAGAAATCTCATGGGCAGTGTTGCCGTGGGGGTCCACAAGGTTATGAAGAGTTGAATGTGACTAAACTATTGAACTCCAACAACAAAGGCCCTTAACTGGCAGCCTTGTGGCAGACTGGGCTGCTGTGTCCTAGGGAGGTATCCAGAAAACTGAAACAGGGTATGGTATGTTTCTAGCCAAACAGCAAGAGCTGATGTATCCCCAGGCCCAGCCTTGTGGCAAGCATGAATAGGGCCTACTGGAGCCGGTTTGGGAACCTCTGAAAGCCCCAGCCATGGTAATGTGCCCTAGGGCCTTGGACATCAAGCACAAACTTTGTTATTTGTTGTGGTAGTTCTAAAGTTTAACTGCAGAGTTTCTTGGTGATTTATACTTGAAGTTTCTTTATATTCACGTTCTGTGAATATGAATACCTCAAGTTTGTTACTTTTGTTCTAGTGGATGGCCACTGCCCTAGAAACATCCAGGGAATCTACCTGCCTTTTTACTTCAAGGACTTCAAGGTTTGCACCTATATTTGTGAGAAAATAATGTTAAAGAAGCGTATATTTAAACCTGGGCCAGCTGTGGCCAAGGATCTTTTTTCCTCTTCTTGTCAGTTTTTATCACTTATCTAATATAACAAAAACTTCAAGTATTCCCATTTGCAGGCTTTTGTTTATTTATCCAAGGACCAGTTTAGCTAAGAGTTTTCTCCTGACCTGAATGTCCTCAAATTCCACAAGTGATTAATAATGTTTGAATTTTATAACTATGCCTAAAATTTCTCAAAAAGAATTTGAGCATAAATAAGAGGTTGTATGTTTTGATACTGGTAATGGAGGCATTCACTATTAGAAATGCTTAATAACAAGTGTTCATTTTTTACAATAAAAATGTCAAAGGAGAACTAATTAATTATTTGCTAATTGTTCTTGCTATAGCTGTAAGTTCAATTCCCAATTATAATAAGGGTTTAATAGATATATAACTTGCTTACATATACATATATGTCTCAAATAGAGTACCTAAAAATGTCTTCACTAAATCCTAATGTATATCTGTTATTAATATCTATCTGTTTTTCCCTCAGTAATGTAATTTTCAGCATTACATATGAACACATTTAGAATTCACCTTTCTAGTAATATTTTTCATGAAAATGTAATTGAGTTAGATGTTTGTCTGTAACTAAGTTGAAGTAAATCATCTTTGCTAAGTTTTTATGCATTTTAACTTTTCTCATTTTCATAATACCCAAACTACAAACTTGTATTTTGAAATGTTCTTTTAGTATGATTAAAAACAATAATCTGAAAACATTAATTATGATAGCTTGAGTTAAGAATGCAGCCATTTAATGATATGGTATGTAATACTTATATTTTAGAGTACAAGAAGATTTTGAATATTTTATCAATTAAGAGAGCGATTTTCAATGAACAATTTTAGTGTTGTTTCTGTAAATATAGATATAAATAGAATACTTGAAGAAGCTATGATTTCTTGGAGGAACACCTGGTATGGAAACTACCAGTGCAGATAGCAACCCTTTAGTGATTTAGCTAAAGTTTTAGGGAGTTGCCTGTGGCAAATAAGAGGTTAACTCAAGGTCACAAGGTTAGTGTCAGAGGCAGTATATAGACCTTCCTGACTGCTAATTCAGTGCTCTATCCACTAATATAAATAAGACTTTAAAAAATAGTGATATAGTATAAATGTTTTTTTTTAAAACATACCCTGTTGTTTCAGTCTCTTTCAGAGGATTCATTTGGAAACTCAAAGAAGACATACAGATGTCATAGAAAAAGAGATTTGAAGAAGAAAAATTCTGCACCATGGTGGTTAACAGATGATGATTTTGAAGATGATGGTAAATACTTTCATTTCATAATATAAACTTTTTTGACCACAAGGTGTCAGTCAAGACCTTTCTTATGTTCTGAATTTTTGAAAAATAAATACAAGAATGTGAGAAAAGCATGAACGCAGTGAGATTTTGTCATTAATGTTCATAGATGATTTTTTCCTGTTTTTCATAAAATTCCATCATGTGTATGATATATAATTGTGAATGGTGACTATATTTCTATTTATAAGGTTTTATCTTGGAATGATTCATATTTTCTGAAAAGTATTTTAATGAACCTACATAACTTCAGATAAAAGATATAAATAATGGCCTTAGGGGTACTAATGTAGAAATAAGTGTGTTTTATATAGGATTCCAAGTTGCTGTGTTTCGTGGAGCAATGATTTTGTTAGTGTGATTTCCTCCACTGGTTTCAGATTCTAACATGATTTATCATCTGGTGCTATTCTTGTCCATGCCTTTCCATAAATTCCATAGAGCAGGGCTTCTTAAATTTTTTTTTTTCATGAACCTTTTGTCAATCTGATGACACTTAATAGCTGTGTGACCATGGACAAGTCATTTAATCTCTGCCTACCTCAGTTTCTTCATCTGTAAAATGGGGATAATAATAGCAAATAGGTGTTGTGGGGATCATATAAGGTAATATATGTAAAATGCTTTGCAAACCTTAAAGCACTATAGAAATACTGGTATTATTATTGTTATCATCATCATCATCATCATCATCATCATTCCCTAAATCTAATGCTCAATGCATCACCATTATGGAACTGGGAAAAGAGTGAAATATGACTTTGTGTGTTTGTGTGAAAACATGTTTGCATGCCAAAGTTGATTCAGGTTATGTATCCACACCAAGGCCATTCCTTATATCTTTTATCTGAAGTTATGTACTTTTACTAAGTACTTAAATGCACTTTTGCTCTGAGTTATTCTGAAACCTTTGAAGGTTTTATCGGGGATATAGGAAGAATGGAATTGGAGGTGGTGGAATGTAATATCTTGGCGTTGCTCAGAGTTCATCTTTATTGGATCATCTGGGAGCTGATTAGGTGGTGAATGTAGGAAGAGCTTGGAGGCTTGGTGAGTTGCTAAACCCTCTTATAAAAAGGCTTGAGCAAGCGTTTAATTGTGGGGCAATAATGCCAAGCAGTAAGACTAGGGATCAGAATTTCAGGTGGAGCAAAAGAGAGAATCATGGTCTGTCTTGAAACATTTACTATGTAGGATATGATCCTTGTCCTTGGGAAGAAAATATTGTACCCCAGGAGTGACAGGAAAAAATATAAGGTAATTAATTACATCTATTTGATGACTGTTTAAGTCTTTACAAATTGAATAATCAGAGGAGAACTTTTGATGTACAATGATTACTTTGGAAAACTTTGAGAGTAAGTCATAGGGATATTTGCAGGTAATTGAAAAGGAGGAAATTTGAAAGAAGAGATCAATACCTGGAAAGGTTATAGAGAGCAGTAAGCTACCTAGAACAAGAAAATAAGCTATTAAAGTGAGCTGTTGAAGGATATAAGTTCACTGAGGAGGAAGAGGAATAAGAATGTAATCAGGAGTTCAGGACAGTTTATATAATCAGATCCCCACTGACAAACATCACCTGTTACAAGAAGAACACCAGGCATTACAGGAGGATTGTCAGGGCTATAAGCATAAATAAGCTCATTTTTATAATGACCTAGAAACACAACACATAATGAGCTTCTTGACTTAGCCTCCGCAAAGCCTTATTGAAAAGGGGCTAAAGATTAGTGCCTTACGGAAAGTTAGGCATGCAGGAGGTCCTAAGAAGAATGGATTACTGTAGTCCCGCAAGATGCAGTTCTGTGGATTCTTCATTGAGAGAGAGAACGTAAGCAATGTTCTCTGAAATTCTCTCAAGGAAAGGAGGAAATATGTGAGAAACTCTTCCTGGGTAACAGAGACTACAAATTTATTAGATTGCAAAGCAAGGGACTGGGATAGCCTAGGAATTAGAGGTTACAAAGCAAATTTAAGTATAGATTTAGTAATACATTGGGAGCCTTCTGAGATTAAAGAGCATAGAAAAAAGAGTGAGGCCATGAATTTTGTATAGTGAACTATCTTATAAATATGAGGTATATGCACAAGAGAGTAGAGGCTGTGTCCCTGGCAGGAATTCAGTGGAGTGTGTAAAGAATATAGAGATGGGATAGAGCTCCCAATTGAATTGTGGAGGAGAAACTAGAGTATTTATTCTATAGACTTTTTAAATGGGACAATCAAAAGCACAATAATTCAGACAGTTTTATCCACAGGGGAATGGAATTTGCCAAATAAGTAAATTGGGGTTGTTGAACTGCTTTTGAAACTGGGAAAGGGAGAGGAAAAGTGGGATTACCATCATTTAGTGTTGTATCTGGATCATGCATATTAACATGCTAGTTGCATTAGTATAGGGGCTGGTGGGAATTGTCTGGATTTTGGATGACTTCTATTGGCAAACTGTTTACCAGGTAAATTGATGAAAAATGTGCTATTTTTAATATAGACTGGGATCTGGCTACTCCAGTCCTGACATAACATTATGGAAGGACAAATAATACAAGGGATGTATGTTGGATCTGGAAAATGAGTAGCCATGGTATATGTTTCAGACTATACTCAAATAAGGAAGTTGCCTATCTGCACTGAGAAGGGTAGAAAAATGCCAGAAAGGGAAAGAATTTCCATACTATGAGTTTCCTACTCTAATGAACAATCAGACATTGGATAACTCTCCATTGGATGATACATAACCTTAATTGTTCAGAAACAATAGTATCACATAGCAATGCCACCTAAACTGATGATTCCTAGATCTATTTATCCAACCCTAAAATTTCTCCTAAGCTCCAGACTCTCAACTCCAGTTGCCTTTTGCCCATCTAGTATATGGGCTATCCTGTGGACATCTTAAACTCAACGTGTCTAGTCTACGGGGAATCCCTCTTCCATTTGGATCTCGCACAGGACAGGCTCCATAAAAGTGCTAAACGTTTACCTTTGGTGAACATATGTCTCCCTTTTCTTATACATCAAAGTTATCTCTATTTAACAACAGATGATAAGATATCTTTGATGGAGCCATATATGTGTGTGTATACATATGTTAAAATAATGGGTCTGTATGTCATGTGTGTATATGTGGCTCTATCAGAGATGATATATGGGCCTGTATACCATGTGTGTATATGTGGCTCTATCAGAGATGATATAGAGTGTTTATGCATATATTAAATGTGTGTGTGTAACATGTATGCACATATGTATAGGAAATATCTTATTAAAAGAGGGCCTTGAAGAAAACATTTTGTTTATCAGATCAAGTGCTTTTTTATCATTGTCTTAGGTATTACTTATTTTGTTTGAAATATGTATACATATGTGTGTATACACATACATATATATGGTATGTGTGTATATGTATATACATATATATGTATGTATGTATATATCAAGCATATTACCAGGGTAAACAGTTTACAGAATGACTGTGTATTAGAGATATGTGCCTTTTATTGTTTTAGCAGAGCATAAATCATTTTTATCTCCATTGAATTGAAAAAGTGAATTGTAGCATATACAATATTTTGTTTTTCTTGTTTTTATATATTACATCTTATATATTATCTAATATAATATAATTTTATATGTCATATATATGTAATATATATTTATATATTAGTAGATATTTATATGTATATATGGATTTTAAACTTGTGTTGCTAAGTATTATTACATATTCAGAAAGAAAACTCTAAAATGAATCATTACACAATTGTAATGCATGTAGGATTGTATATTTTAAAATATCAATTGAATAAAAGAAAAATATCTGTGGAATATTTATAGATACATAAACACATATACTGATGAATAAAACTAGAAGGATAGTAAAAAGCAAAACATGGACAATAAGTCGATAAGGATTTTTTTAAAACTAAATTTTTTCTCTTTTACTGACTATGGCACAATTGCATTTGTGCATTACAATCCCCAATGAACTACACAAGGCACAAATATGTGGCACTAATATGGGAACAGTCTCTAGACTAGACCCATTATAAACAGAGGTGGTCCATGATAAAGGCAGTGCAATTTTGAAAGTGTAGAGGAATTCATTCTCAGGAATACATGAAAGAGGGGAGGATGAGGATAATGACTGCTTTGGAAAAAAAAAAACACCAAAGATAAGTCAGATGAGGGGGAAAGGATCCATATGTACAAAAATATTTATAGCAGCAGTTTTCTTATAGTAGAACTGAAAACAAAGTGGGTGGTCACCAAATGAATAAATTGTGGTAGAATAAACTGTGGTGAAATAGGGAGGGGTACACTAGATAGGCCCTTCCACCTCTGGTCTATGTGCCTGTGTATCCAAAATATGGAAACCTTAAAGTGTTACAGAATTGTCAGCTTTTATGTATCCAGGCACATTACATTAGAAACACTTTAGCAGAGGCCTGCTGCACGGAACTGGGAAGAATGCTTGGTTTGGAATTTAGTTCCAGCTGAGTTACCAATTAGCTACATGACCTTGGGCAAGCCACATTACCTTTCTATACCTTAGTTATTTCATCCATAAAATATGGGGACTAGCTAAAAGACCTTTGTGATGCCTTCTGTCACTCACATTCTCTGATTCTAATATATATCAGCCCAAAATATCCTCATCTGGTCCATTTGCAGCACTGATTCTTGAAGAAGCAGCCTATCTGTCTCTAGAGCATTGAGAGTCAATATTCCTTTATTTTTGGCTTGCTGCATCATTTTAGAATGGTCTTTTAACCTCCTATACTTAATTTGAACTCTCAGCAGGTATTTGGTTATTCATTCCAATACTGTGAAATTGCCCGTGGTCTATGAATAAAATAAACCATTTTGCAAAGTCTGGGAGTTACCTTTCCCTTAAAGTAGCAAGTATAAACACTTGACACCATATCATTACAGAAACTTGGGAAATGCAAGTACTGTTGTGT